ACGAATTTTTATATTTTTATTTAATTACTATATCGAAAATTCAAAAGCCCTTCTTTGATAAAATCCCGGTCACACTCTCCCTCTAAACAGTAAACCCCACCTAAAACCGCCCTGCAGATTTCTAGAAACCCGCCTCCTTCCTTTCCTTTGTCCCAAATTCGCTGCTCCGCCGTCGTCCCCAAATCATCTGCTCCTCCACGCGAAATCGCCCCAATCCAAATCTTTCGATCCGCGCCTCCGCCTCCGCCCCAAATCGTCCGCGTCTGCACGTAGTTCGGTCCGGTCAAGGATTGACGCCGGTCGTCGACTCGCCGGCCGAGGGCGCTGAGCTCGGAGGTGCCGCCTTTCCGTGCACACCGTTTACCGTCAAGGCCCAAGGGCTAAAGTCTCTTCCTAATTTTTCGTCTCCCTCCCAAAATTTAAGTCCCATCAAGGTATAAATCTTTTTTTTTGATTGATCATATGTATGTTTGTGAGATATTACTGATTCTGTTACTTTACTCATGTATGTATGTTAGTGAGATAATATATGTTATATTTTCTGATTCTTGAATTGTTTCTGTCACTTTACATTTGAAAACCATTTTGTAAATGATACTTNCAACCCTTGCCTGTTTCTGGCTCTCTTCTTTGTTTGCTTTGTTTGGATATTTAGAAATAATGGAGCGTTATCAAGTGGAGCCTTATGAAATCATTTGAAGCAAAGATGGGTGTGCTATTTTGTTCTGCACATGATTTAGCTTAAGAAACCTGTAATATACAAGGTGTAAAACCCCTCTTTTGAGTGAAAAAAGAAAAACAAACCGAAACATAAATATTGGAATTTTTTTCGTACTCATTATACTGCTTATGTGAGATTTTTCATTTGGACCGTTGAGGAGAACAGCAAGTAGTATAAATTAGTTTCTTTACAGTTCCATTGTTTACTAGTTCTGAATTTCTCATTCTGTGAATTTTAAGTAGCCCTTTAAACGAACGAAATGCAGACCCGTAAATTCTCACACACATTGTTCAGACTTGAGTATCCTTAGAATGTGTGCCTCTCTAAGTTGATATATAAAATTGTGTTATGTGGTGAGAGAGCTGTGAAGGCTATGTGTGTGTGTTTGAGGCGATTTTAAGCATTCAATATGTAATAGGTGCTTTCGAGATGTCTCAAATACATTCATAGTTTTGGTTCAACTCGAACTGACATTGAAATCCAATTTAGATTTAGTATGTCCATTGCTTTTTTTTTTATTGCAATTTTATTTCTATTTCTTGTTAGGAGTTGTTTTATTTTCACAAATGAATACTTGGATAAATTGATGATTTTTTTTTTCCTTTTGTCAGGACAATAAGATTCAGTGGTAGGTCAAAGCAAAGCCGAAGTGAGAAAACAAAGAGTCCCAATGTCGCAGTTCGTGACGGGCTTTGAAACAGGATTGGGCTCGGGCTTCTGGACATTTGTCCTGGAGAGATGTTCCTCCGTAAGCAAGCATGCACGCGTTATATCAGTTCGATAATGAACGTGCGTGAAGAGTTTCGAAAACTGGAGAAAAGTTTTTTTACAATACGAGAACTGATGAGTATTATGGAGGAGAAAGTAATTTTAGGAAAAAGCCGCGGTCGGCAAATGTGGTAAGAAGACTTGAGGGACCTAGCTTGTGATTTGGAGATCCTCCTCGATCGAATTGCAATGGAGTAACAGAAGTTTTTTTCTCACGGGGAAGAGGATATTCAGTTTGTGACTAAGATGCAAGCTTTTGTTATGAGGGTAAGCTTTTGTTAAGATGGACCCATTTGGTTGCATAATATGGGTCTATGTCGGTCAATATTTTGACTCAGTTAGGATCTTGAGATATATCATGGAGCAGCTCACACAAAAGGAATGCAACTTCTCGGACCTTAATGCCCTCCAGAACAGTCAGAGACCTAGCCCAGCGTAAAAGACTTCTAGTCGTATTCGACGACTACTGGAGTATGGTGCCCAGGATTGGGATACCCTTGTGCTGCCATTGGAATCAACTGCATATGGCAGCTTTGTCATTGTGACCACAAGAAGCTCGAAAGTATCATCGATTGCCTGCTCATCTAGATCAACAGACAGAGCTAGATGGACAGAGTACAAGCGGGGTTCCTATCCGACCATGACTGCTGCGGATTGGTCGAACAAATAGCCGTCCCGAGTTTTAATATCCCAGATGAAATAAGGAGTGTTATTGAAAGCAAGTGTGGAGGCTTGCCTCTTGCGGCCACATCTCTTGGCACTGTGCCAAGTTCGGCAGTCACCACCCAATTAAAATGGGAGTTCGTGTTACGCGACGATACGTGGGAAACGCCACAAGGTAGGATTGTGCTTGATAGTCTATCTGGAGAAGGAACAACTTTTGTTGAGGAGTTACCTACAACTCCCATATCCTCAGCGCCGTTGTTTCCAATATTGTGCTATGTTCCCGGATTCCCACATTTTTAATGTTATGACTTTGTGCGCTTGTGGATGGTTGTGACATTTATATTGCGTGTTGCGCCTATGGAAGTTGAGGATGTCGGCAAATAACATTTCAATGAGAAGTGTGCCTGATGGAGCCACTTATGCATGTATTGATTCACAATTTTGCTCGGTTAGTGGCAAGTGGCGTTTGCTAGATCGAATCAGCCTCTTTTCTTGTTCGGATGCATTCCTCACATGTCGCCATGTCCCGCTACATTTCAAGGCAGCCACAATCTCTTGTTTTTTGTGGTTGCCTTGAGATGTAGCGGGACATGGCCGTCATAAAGCATGGACATGTGAGGAATGCATCCGAACAAGAAAAGATTCGAATCAGGCAAACGCCACTTGCCACTAACCGAGCAAAGTTGTGAATCATACATGCATAAGTGGCTCCATCAAGTGCACTTCTCATTGAAAATATTGTTTGCCGACATCCTCAACTTCCATAGGTGCAACACGCAATATAGACGCCACAAGCGCACAAGGTCATCAACATTAAAAATGTGGCAATTCGGGAACATAGCACAATATTGGAAACAACGGTGCTGAGGATATGAGAGTTATAGGTAACTCTTCATGAGACTATCAAACACAATCCTACCTTGTGGCGTTTCCCACGTATCGTCGCGTAACACGAACTCTCATTCTAATTGGGTGGCTGTCGAACTTAGCACAGTGCCAAGAGATGTGGCCGCAAGAGGCAAGCCTCCACACTTGCTTTCAATAACACTCCTCATTTCATCTGGGATATTAAAACTAATTCGGGACAGCTATTTGGAGTTGATGCTTCGGGATCGAGATTGAACTCCAAACCACGTCTTGAGATTTTTGAGTTGCAATGGTCAATACCACAAGTGGTCGGCGATGACCTCAACCAAGAACCAGAGCGGCAAGATGATGCCTTGATTGGATCGTGATGCCTTGCCCCTCATGTTAATCTAAAAAGGATCGTGATAAGAAACTATAGTGGTGTAAATTTTCCTCCTTGACTCTCTGATCAATTTCATAGATTTACAAAGGTCGAGCTCGTGGGATTGCAGCATTGCACTAACCTGCCATCCCAAGGAGAGTTTCGGGTGCTCCAAAAAAGTTTGATATGGACTTGATAGTGCTAACTGAAATTGGCGAAACATTATACGGTACAAGCCAAGAAGTCAAGTTCTCGTCCTTGACATCATGTGAGCTTCGTAAATTGCCCCAACTGGCATGACGTGGATGATAACACCATGCCCAATATCAGCACTTTCTGTATAGCGAGTTGCCTGTTACTGGCCACCTGCCCTGCGAGACTTATGACTGCTCCTAACCGACAAGTCCAAAATTGTCCACAGTTGCCGCTTGAACAGGGGCATTGAAAGGTAAGTCTCTCTTGTGAACTATCTTTCGTATGTAGTAGCTATTATCGTGGATCTACGTGTTGGGGTTGTAAACAAATCATGTTCAAGGAACATATTGTCTTTAGTCTTGTTCATTAATCGGTCAGTTTTTGTGTGTTGTTGCCACAAGATTATGCATTTGTGAGAGTGGTCTTGATTGGAGCCAAGAGAATCCTGTTGAATTTTCTTTTACAGAGTTGTCTTGTTCTCAGATTGAACCATTTCATCTTGATTTT